CCAAGGAAATCCAAGAATTATGAATTTCACCAGATGCTGTAGATTTCCTTCTTTGATGTGGAGCAGTCAATAACTCAGGAACAGGTAACAGTCAATCTCAGACTCTGAAAATGAAAAGTGAGGTTTGGAAAAATATATTTCAAAGAGAGTACAAAATTGTCTCCATTGCGTCTATTTTACCCTGCCTTTTGAAATTATACTTTATGTTAATATCATACAAATTCAAAGATTTTTTAACAGTGCACTGTGTTTGCCCCATCGTTCAAGGGTAAATAATAATATAATACAACCCGATTAGTGTATGAAAACAACGAATCCTTATCATTTTAGTGTGATGTACAGTGTATAAGCACAACGGACCAGCCCAATGTTGTTTGACGTATCAGTGATGATGAGCTTGCTCACTTCAAAAACCTATGTTATTTGCATATTTAATAAATGAATTTTTCGTTTTTGTTTTTTGTTTTATTATACCAGTTAAAAATATTAACTCATGCGATACATATGTTACATATTCTTCACTTGTGTTTTACACTTGTAAAATGAAGTATTTATCTCACACGATGAAATACTAGTGGTTTTCATCAAGACTCATCATTTTAAAGTAGAAATGATGCTACCTGAAAGCAATTGAAGAAAATACAAAAATGAATTTGAAAATTTTACATCCAAACACAGTTGCTTACTTTTTCACAATTTGGACCACATCTTCGTCATTTAGAATATGATCCTTTCCAACTTTCTGAGGTTGATGCCTTACTGATGATCCCCACACCAATGCACTGGAAAAAAGGTCAATAATTAAAATCTGACAATATCACGGGACGGTCTGAAGCATTAGACAGCATTTCACAACAGATGTGTGCTAACGATCAGGGTTTTGGATCAACTATATGGTTAATTCTACGTTATGTATGTCCATGTGAAATGGAAAAAATCAGAGTAGGTAAAATTCTTGAAGAAAAATACCCAATAGTATGTTTCAAAATGGTTATTATTCTTTAAATTATAAAATTTGTTTATCAATGGAGTAGTGTACATCATAAAACCCTCCTCACATGACCCTGGCTGTTGTAAGGGTGTTAAACCCCAAACAAACATCGTCAAATCTATATCTACAAAAAAAACCTCTTTCTCTTTGAAAAGTTTCATAATGTTGCATAAGAGTAAAACTCATACAAGCCAGTGAGAGATAACAGAGTTGTTTCCCTTTAATGTCAGATCTAGCTAACAGGGGAAATAACTTACTATTTGAATTCTTTCAGTAAACTTCTGTGGAGTTTGTTGGCAAATTCTTCAATTGAACTCTTCCCATCTTTTAAAACAACTGGCGAGGTGTAATCTGGCAACTGTCCTTTAGGTTTGGTGTATCTGTGGGAAACCAAAAATATCAAGTTAAAAAGTCGTGGGTTTATAAACTGTAATATATAAAGACAGTTTAGTATGTTAGTGAATTTTTGTAATAAAATATGAAGTTTAGTTTGGTTTGGTCTGGTTTGTTTGTGTTTTATGTCCTTTTAACATCTAGGGTCATTTAAGGACGGACAGGTTTTGGTGGTGGAGGAAAACCGGAGTTTCCGGAGAAAAA